GGATACTTGGGTTTTACTACCACAATACAGTATTGGTGAACTATAGCTTACAGGACAGAGGATACTTGGGTTTTACTACCACAATACAGTATTGGTGAACTATAGCTTACAGGACAGAGGATACTTGGGTTTTACTACCACAATACAGTATTGGTGAACTATAGTGTGTACTGATTGCATCATAATATTACATTGCTTTAGTCCACAGTAGGAGCCCAGAAAAGTTCAACTGCCAGTACTTAGAAGAATATATAATAAAAGTTACAAAAAACTTTTAAAATTGTTAAATATATATATATATATATATATATATAACACCATTTAAGCTCATAGTATCATTAATTTAAATCATAAATCCTTAAGTTCATGCAAAGGTTGTTCTACATACTGTGCTGCAAAATACTAATGACTAAATTTTAAAAATCATGAAAATCATATATAAAAATCTTTGATACAAAATGCAGTATTGACCATTCCAGACCAAACTGAGTTGCTAATGATACTGTATTCGTTGTTTTCACTTTTAAGCTAAAGCAAATTCATAAGCTATATTCTAGTATTCTGTAGGATGGGGAGGGTGTAAGTAGATACACATGATAATATTTTAAATTGTTCTGAAAATAAAAAACAGAATACTTGTTGATAATGTGAATATATAGTTAATTGCTTGATTTGCCATAGTTTAAGTGAATGTTTGCTATGATATCAATTTCAATTAGATTAGCTTAGCCAAATCATAAAAGAATTTATTCTTTTTTTTTCTGTATTTGTACCTGTTTGTAAGCAGTTACAGGCCTTTATTAATTTTAAACATTACAGGTCTGTTACAATTATTTACTTTTAATTGAACATAACTGAAATTTAGTAATTATCTAAAACTTAGCATTAGTTTTGCCTAAAATACCTTGAACAGTCACTAGAACATGGTATCTTGAAAGGTGAAAGATTTTCTAAAGCACTCTGTAATAGAGCATCATTACTATCTTCACAAAAAGCCAACTCTACAGCATTCTCTTCTATCTGCTTCATTGGAATACTTTTGGAGACATTAGCGGGAAACTGTTTTGAAGGCGTAGTTTCTTCATCTGTTTTTTGAAGTTTTGAATCTTTATAAAATAATTGTTTTGAAGACATATCATTTGCAGTTGGAAATCTATCACTGATAGATGTAAAGACAGTTTCATCAAAACTCTCTTGCACTGAATGAGACAAAATTTGATTGAAAGCTTTTTCCTTGATTTTCTTATCTGCATCAAAGCAGTTTTTTTCTTTAACACTATTAGTCTGGAAAAACTTATGTTCATCATCCTGTGATATTAGAAACTTAATATGAGGAGAACAATTCTGGTATGTTTTGTTATATAAAATAGGCTGTATAGTTTGGTTAGAAGCATTATTTTCACTTGATTTTATTGTTTTTAACACAGAAATAGCATTTTCTTTAGGTGCTACAAACTCTCCACAATATTTTTTCACTACAGTAGGCACTTCTACTTCAAGAGGACGTTTGACTGTTATCTTATTCCCATTGTTTGCTTTTAGTTTTTCAAAAGTAACATCATCACTTACGCAGTTTTGTTTACATGAACCAACAGAAAATAACTGTTTTCTACCAATTCTAGTTCGCAAGATGTGTCTTTTTACCAAATTACTATCACTTGAGGTGCCTGTATTTTTTATTCTAACTAATTTTCCTTTAATTTCTTGTGGAGTCTCAGGAATTATTGAGGCATCTTCATCTTCTGAGTTAGAGAGGTTGAAATCTCCATTGTTGGGTGAGTCTGATATTACACTTGGTGTTAGAGATTCCTTGTAAGACAAACATTTATTATTTTCATTACTGATGCATGTCTTTTCTTCAACATCAGAAATATTTTGGTTCAAACTTTCACTTAAAGATATTTTCTTTAGACTATCTTTGTTGGATCTTTCACTAAAACTTAGTTCTCTTTCTGATACATCATCATGATTTTGAAAAAATAAAATATCTGGATCTAAAGGGGTTTCAGTTTTCTCACATGTTGATAAATGTGGAAAATTATTTGGTATTATCTTTTCATGCAATGGGTTTTTAGTTTTGTTTTCTGTAAGCTTAATATTGTGTACGTCTTTGTCTCCTACAGTGGTAAATAGTGAAGTTTTTTTTTGTGCTGCTGTCACCTGCAAGAAAATTAAAAATGCCTTAACTTTTTTTTGTTATAACACTGTCTTCCATTTACATTAACAGCAAATAAAATGGCACTGGTAAAAATTCCCATTCCAAGTTTTTTCATACAAACTAGTGAAATATTCAGAAATCAAAACATAAGTATACAAATCTTGATATTGACAGAAGTGAGCTAGAAAAAGCAAAATACTGAATGTACATCACTATCATAAAACACATTCAAGCAAGCTAAAATGTTTTCTTTGAATTTTCATCTTTAGCAAATAAAAACAAACAAATCAATCTACAGTACTAAACTATTTATGCTTTTTATTTTACTAAAAATAATTTAAATCATACAGATATAAACCAAAAAAAACAGTTGTCCCATTAACAATATTTTTATATAAATTTAAAGCTGAATGAAACCATTAGTCACTAACTTATTTACAATCTTATGAAATGTAATCCTAAGAATCATATGATAAATATGTACAGCCCAAAGTTTGTTAACATCCTTATATGGTTGGTATATGTTTATCCAAAAGCTTATGGAATTTTGTTAATAAAATGTACAATGTTTAAAATCAAAGTTGATTTTATTTTCAAGTATTGTTTGTACAATTAAAAAAAACTGTAGATAGTAACAAAATGGTTGTATTGATACCAGCAATTAAGAAACTTACAAAAAAAGATGAAATTCTTGTTTGTCCTTTGTTAGTAGACTGCTGAAAGAAAAGTTTTAACTGAAAATTATTTCTAAGTAAAAAAACCTTTTGTGTTTAATATGAAATGTTAGGACTGCAATAATATATTAATGTAAAAAAGCAAAACACATATATGAAGTTTATCTTTACTAAAATTCTGTATAAAATCAACATTTAAATTCTACTGCATTTACTTTGAAAACTAATGATCACTATACACACTACTTTGTGGTTTAACCAAAAATTAAAATTTACTCATAATTTAAAAATTTAATTTTTTAAGTTAAATATCAACTCCAGGCTTAAATGTGGGGATGAAATTATTAGTAGGTCACTAAGACTAAATACTATGCTTAGTTTAATATGTAAGGAAAAGCAGATTGGCTGGTTGGACTTGCGAGATCATATCAATGGGAAAAGAGAGCTTTTGGGAATGGATGGTTTACATTTAAACAGGGTAGGAGCTAGCTTGTTCACAAGGGCTATTAATTCAACTGTAAGGGCAACTTTAAACTAGGATTAAACAGTAGAAAAGACCAAAATAATGAAGAAAAAAATTAAATGTAGAGATGAGGGTATAGTATGGAAACAAGGTACAAAAGTAGTTTTAGTGGTAGGCTAAACTTATCATTGTAATGTTAAAAGTATAAGAAATAAAATGAATGTTTTTAAAACACGGATCAGAACAGATGATTTTGGTATAATGAGAATAGTTGAAACCTGGCTGAACAGAAAATTTTCATTACATGAATTTTTGAAATACTGGGTTATAGACTGTTTAAAAAGGATATATTACTAAAAGAGGAGAATAATGGCTTTATATGTAAAAATGTAAAATATTCAATTTGAAAATATCAAAGATAAAAGCAATGAGGTTCAGTCTATTTGAGTTTCTGTTAATGGTTATAAGGGGAAAAGGCTTTTAGGTAGAATTTGTTACAGAGTACCATATGAAACTGAATAAATTAATGAGGTTATAATTATGGAAGATTTCAATTTCAGGAATATGGATTGAGAAATGTTAGAATCCAATCATGAGGAAAACAAATTTTTTGAAAATGTTCAGGATAGGTTTCTTCAATAATTGATTAGGGAACCTATTAGCAACAATGTTTTTTTGAAGTTATTGTTAACTTTTAATAAAGAAATGGTTGATAGGGTAGTATTTGGGGAACATCTGGGTGCAAGTGATCATTGCTTAATTAGATTTAATGTTTTGCTGCATATGGGGATAAGGAATAATGAGATTTTGGTTTCAAATTTCAAAAAAGCTAATTTTAAAGAATTATCTGCTGTGACTTTGGCAATGTAATTAGTTGAATATACTAATCAAATGTGGAAAGTTTAAAAATAAATTATTAATTCTTCCTGATACACATGTTCCTCAGAGACAAACAAGTGTGGCCACTAGTAAAAAAAACCCAACTTGGCTTACAAAGACTATAAAGCATAGAATTATAGAAAAGCATTATAAGTATAAAAATTTAAATGACTGCAATAAAAAAGATATTTCGAGGATTACAGAAGATCGAAAAAGTGGTTGAACAGGAAATTACAAAATAAAAAACATATGAGAAAAGGTTGACTGGAAATGCAAAAAATAATGATTTCTTTAAATATATTAAGGGTAATCAAAGTGTTAAGATGGGAGTAGGGCTTTTTGAAGTATGATAAAGGAATGCTAATAACTGATAATTATGATATGGCTGGGTTATTAAATTAAAAATATTTTAACAATCTTTATTAATGAAGATTTAAGAAATATTCTTCACCCTAAGCCATTGCTAGATGGAAACAAGATTGAGTAAGATGATCACATTAATTCTAAGTTTATTAAGAAAAACTAAGAAGTTTAAAGAATGATAGGGCTCCTTGGGCTAATATTTACCCAAGAGTTTTGAAATGGGTTAAGAACTGGATATGTGAAAAACTTCCAGTTATTTTTACATCAATGACTTGGAAGGAAGATGATGCATTGATACTATAAATTCCCTTCACAATCTTAAACACCTTAATCAGGTACCCTCTAACTAATGTTTTTCTTTTTCAAGATAAAACAATTTCAGAGATCTTAACCCGTCCTCATATGACACTTTTTCCATCCCAGGTATCATCATAGTAACCTTTTTCAGAACTATTTTCAATGATTCAATGTCCTTTCAAGGGTAAAGAGCTTAAAATAACTACTCCAAATGAGGCCTAACTAGTGACCTACACAATTAAATTATAACCTCTTTATAATTTTATTTATTATATATTAATCTATCATAATTAAAAGCTATCTGTAATTTATTTGCCCAATTAAATTAAATACACAATTAAATTATAACCTCTTTATAATTTTATTTATTATATATTAATTTATCATAATTAAAAGCTATCTGTAATTTATTTGCCCAATTCACCAAATAATCTAAATTATTTTGTAAAACAACAGCATCTTCCTCATAACCAGCAACATCCAAGACTTTAATATCAGTAGTAAATTTAAGTAATTTATTGACCATTCCTTTATCTATGACATTTATGTAAATCCTAAAGACAAAAGGTTCTAATACTGAGCCCTGAGGTACCCTATTTGTAACATCAATCCACTTTGACTGAGTGCCATTTATAACAACACTCTACTTTCTTCCATCCAGCCATTTTTTTTTCTTTCCAATGAGCCAACTTAACCCCCCAACCTACAGAGATAATATTTTAACAAGCCTTGTATGTAGGCCTTGTCAAATGATTTCTGAAAATCCAGATACACCAAATCTACACCCTTATCTTCATCTCATAATCAGTAACCTCTTCAAAGAATCTCAAACGATAAGTAAGGCAAGATTCTTATCCTAGTGAAATCATGATGACTATTCAATAAAATTTTAAACTTTGTTAAATGCCTTTGCAAAGTATCCTTTAATCTGACTTTTAAGAACATTTCTCACCATTGATGCAAGATTCATAGGCCTATAATTACTTGGACAAATCTTAATCTCCTCCGTTGAGAAAAAATAAATAGCATTGGATAACTTTCAATCTTCTAGCAGCTGCCCACTCTTAATTTTTTTTTGTCAAATCAGTTTCACTATATATACACGTACATGTTCAGTTTTACTATACAAACACTTATAGTTGACTAAATGTATTATCAATTTGGTGGATATAGAAGGTTTCTTTTATCTTTCTTTCTATCTATCATGATTCATATTGTTACGTATCTGCTTGTTTGATAATTTCCCATAAAAATTTATTCCGAGAAACTTCAGAGATACAAGTCCTTTCTTAATTAAAACTAGTTTATTATTTCTCGATACAACTTTATAATACACAGAATTTCCAGTCACTTTCACTTAAACACACACTATAATTCACAACGATTCACACACTTTACTTACAGTCACAACCGCTCACTTGACTCAATTATCTGTCTCTATCTCCATCTATCTGCAATTATCTAAGCCGTCACTTCTTCTCTCCGCTTTATTTGCCCGGCTTATATACTAAAATAGAGGGTGTCTAGCAAATACTGGGATATTCATGAGGTTCCCCAATCCTTCTAGAAACTAATGACATATTACCAGAAGACTAAAGTTGCCACAAACAGACATGATCATTCTAGAATCTCAAGACGTGTTACTAGCGTCACGTGACTTCCGCTGTCATAACATCATTATAATGTTAGAAGTATAAGAAATAAAATGAATGTTTTTAAAACATGGGTCAGAAGAGATGATTTTGGTATAATGAGAATAGCTAAAACCTGGCTGAACAGAAAATTTTCATTACATGAATTTTTGAAATACAGGATTATAGACTGTTTAAAAATGATATATTACTAAAAAAGGGGA